AGTTGGTGTTTTATTTTATCAATATATTCATTTCAGCATATTTTTGAATAAAGGAAACTGGGTTTGTCTGTGGCTGACTGAGCATGCATATTGTGCACGTTAGTGTCAGAAAATAAATCATTTTGGTCACAAAAAAGAAAAAAGGAGAAATGAGAGTCCTAACTGCCTTTAGATTAAGAGAATTTTTCCCATAAACAAGAAAAGCAAGCATGATAATCACATACCAAATTATGAATGCCTCTCAGTGCTTTAAATATTCAGTTGTCATAGATTTATTAGCTTAAAACTGTCATTTTCAGCCTAACAAGCTAAAAGTGTGTCTTGAGCTCTTCACTGAGTTGGATGAGGTCCAGGACTGTCACTTCCCAATAACCTCAGACTGCCCTGCAGCTATTCTAAAGTCTCAAATTGTCCACTGAAAGTACCCAAACAATCCCCAATGATAGGTGGACACAAATCCAGTCTTACAACATCTTCAGTAGAGCAGATCCAGCATCCACTACTATAGCATGCATATTACTTAGTTGTTGGAAGTTCTTTTGTTTGTGTCCCATCAGTAATGTTGAGAGACAGAGGCAATGTTAGATATCAAAAATAGTAGCAGGGGGATTCAAAGACAAAGAAATATTGTGACTATGAAGTAGCCTGTGGGGTTGAACACACTCATTATATGTTGCAATACTAAACTGAATGGAACAAATGCAAAGTAGGTTCATGTGCACTGCAGGATTGATGTTGTAGCATTTCAGGGTCCTTTCCATTCAGTTTTGAAATGAGATGCAAACTATACTGATTCAATTAAAAGGAGAGTGAAGGGGAGTTATTATACTGGACTTGCACTATACAAACATTTTATGTTTTAGCTTATCCTGTTCTATTTAAAGCAACAGTAATGTTTTTTTCCCATAGACAAAGTAGAATGCTGTGTTTTGTACAGTGGAAATGAAGAGTGTCCGCTACCTGCCTAACGAAACAGTGAGTCTTTGTGAGGCTAATTGTAGCTGGAATTTAAATATTAAAAAAAAAACTGGAGAAACCATGAACATGCTAATGAGGCAACTGCTGTTTACCCCTTTCATTCCAACATTACAAAAACAGCAAACACATGGAGACAATACACTTCAGTTCTGAAAACAAAATTGCAAACCAGTGCGTCAACAGGCTACTTAGAAAATCTCCCCAGGCCAAAAACAAACACTGGAGTGGCCAGAAAACCAAAAAGCAAAGCACTTATAACTCCAGGTGCAATAATCAAGCCCAAGGGAATTCCTCTGATGTCACTACATGGTAGCCCTACCAAAAGACATTCAATTACAAAGACAGAGAACTAGGCCAGTTTAAACAGATTACAACTTTCTTGTTTGGAGGAGCCCCCCAGTTTGACCAGCTCAAAGGGCCATAGCAAGTAAAGGGAGAGACATCAAAAATACTCTTAAAATCAACTGATTTATGTAGAGGACATACAGTAAATGAAATTGCAACAAGAGGTGAGGTGTAAGGTCAGAATAGGGGAGCAAATGTGTAGGAAAAGCAGTGGGTGAGTGTTGGTGGGCGAATCAAAATAAACAAAATGTATAAAGACTCTCACCGAAAGGCCCAAGATGGCAACACTTACAGAGGTGCATGCTGGGTCTACAGTAGCTGCTCCCAGTGGACACCAGTTATCTGTACCTACAAGAAAACATAAAACAAGGCACAAACAAACACATAGGATTAGTACTTAAATTAAGAATGTGAAGAAAAAATTCTGTTGTGAAAATATGATGAAATGTTGGTGAAAGAAGATGACTTTTTTTTTGAATGTTCAAGAAAAAGGAAATTGGGTATCTGAAGTTAGTTATTGGGAAGTCTCCTTTGTTCCCTTTCATTCTTTTGAAATAAAGACTGAAGGAAAGGAAGATGGGTGAGTAATTAGTATGCAATTAATGTGAGACACAAAGCTTACATCCAGGTTAGGATCATGTTTTGGCTATGAGCGTGACATTCCAGCCAGGTTTTACATCATTATGATATACTGTAGAAAGACGTTGCTGCTTTTTAACGATGGAAGTTGAACATTTGAAGATCACAAAACAAAAGTCAATTCACATTATTGTACTCTTACAGGCTCGGATATAGTCTTCACATTTTGCCACTTCATATGAGGAAATAAAAGTTAAACACAAATTTAACGTCCTCAGTAGAAACAAGGAAAGCTCGTACTGTGTAAAAGCTCACAAGCCGTGCACCTGCACTTGATCAAAACTGCACTGGTGCCCTCGCAGGTTTACTCACTAGGATCACGTCAGAGTGGAAGATGTCATTATCTACCTTCTCTGCCAGGCCTTCCCTCTGTGCAGGAAGCACAGTGAGGGTAATGTTTTTTGAGTTCTCGAGTGCTTCCAGCACCATTCAGCTTCTACTAATGGAAAATAAGCTCATAAGCATGCAGGCAGACATGCTGACAAGCAACACAGCAGCCCCTCGGGGGACTATCCTCACTCCTGTCCTGTTCATCCTGTACACTCTCAACTTCTACTGCTCAGTCATGGCAAAGATGTTTCACAGACAACTGTGCTATCATGGGATGTAACAGCAACAACACAAAGCAGAATACAGAAGCCTGGTAGACAACTTTGTTGAGTGGGGCAATCAGATCCACCTGCAGCTCAACATTTCCAAGGCTAAGGATGTGGTTATGGATTTCTATAAGACCAAACCTCCCCTGAGTTCCAGGTTTACTAAGGCATGATGGTGCTTTTAGCTAAATGGTAACACCAGCATACTAAAGTAATTATGACATTTAGTGGTATGACACTACATACATCACAATCATTTGGAAGACACTTTTGTCCAAAGTGACTGAAAACCAGGTCTAACATTTTACATTCACAATTTTAGTTTAGAGTGTGCACATACTAATGTGCAACCTACTGGTGAAGGCCACCAGGACTTGCAGGTTTGTTTGAGTGGCTCCTCACCAGATATTGTTTATTTAATTTATATACTGATATTAGCCTACCAATTCAATTCAGTTCAACTCAATAAAATGTTATTTGTATAGTGCCAAATCACAACAAAAGTCATCTCAGGACACTTTACAAAGTAAGGTCTAGACTATTATTATTATCATTATTATAGAGGAAAAACCCAACAAATCCCCCTTGAGCAAGCACTTGGTGACAGTGGGGAGGAAAAACTCCCATTAATGGAAGAAACCTCTGACAGACCCCGGCTCTTGGCAGGCGGACTTTGGCCTCAACTGGTTGTGGTGAGTGAATAGAGGAGAGAGAAAAGAAAAGAAAAGCAATAAGACACAACATACACAATAAAAAATAATCAAACACTGGGTAGGTTGATGTGGCTGGTGACTGCTCATCAGAGACGTAGAGCTCCAGAGTCAGAGATACCTGCACAGGGAGAGAGAGAGGACACACTACAGGAGAGAGGAGACACACAGTTAGTGATGTAAAATGGTGGCATATAGATGCATGGAGAGGAGAGGAGAGGAGAGGAGAGGGGGCAACCTATCACAACACAACTATGAGGAAGCTCAGGGTCACCTGATCCAGCCCTAACTATAAGCTTTATCAAAAAGGAACGTCTTAAGTCTACTCTTAAAGGTAGAGAGGGTGTCCGTCTCCTGAACTGAGACTGGGAGTTGGTTCCATAAGAGAGGAGCTTGATGGCTAAAGGCTCTGCCTCCCATTCTGCTTCTGTGGACTCTAGGAACCACAAGTAGACCTGCACTCTGAGAGCGAAGTGCTCTGTTAGGATGATAAGGCTCTACGAGGTCTTTAAGATACGATGGAGCCTTGTCATTAAGGGCTTTGTATGTTAGGAGAAGGATTTTAAATTCTGTTCTGAATTTTACAGGGAGCCAGTGGAGAGAAGCTAATATGGGAGAGATATGATCTCTCTTGCTCGTTCCTGTCAGTCCTCTGGCTGCAGCATTTTGGATTAACTGGAGGCTTTTTAGGGAATTATTGGGATATACTTATAGTAAAGAGTTACAGTAGTCCAGCCTGGAAGTAACAAATGCATGGACCAGTTTTTCAGCATCACTTTGGGACAGGATGCTCCTGATTTTTGCAATATTTCGCAGGTGAAAGAAGGCAGTTTTAGAGACTTGGTTTATGTGTGATTTAAAGGACATATTCTGATCAAAGATGACTCCAAGGTTCCTCACAGTAGTACTGGAGGCAAGAGCTATGTCATCTAAAGTAACTATATGATTAGACAGCAGATTTCTAAGGTTTTCAGGCCCAAGCACAATAACTTCAGTTTTGTCAGAGTTTAGAAGTAAGAAGTTACAGGTCATCCAGGCCTTTATGTCTTTAAGACATGCTTGAAGTTTGACCAATTGATTTTAATCATCTGGGTTCATAGATAAATATAACTGAGTATCATCTGTGTAGCAATGGACATTTAGGTTGTGTTTCCTGATAATATTGCCTAAAGTTAGCATGTTTAAAGTGAAGAGAAATGCACCTAGCACAGCACAAAGCCCTGTGGAACGTCATGGCTAACTTTAATCTGCGTAGAAGATTTATCATTCAACATGAGCAGATTGGAATCTATTTAATAACTAAGATTTGAACCAATTTAGTGCAGCTCCTTTAATCCCAATAACATGTTCTAGTGTCTGTAATAAAATGTTATGATTCACTGGTGTCAAAATTCCACACACACACGGCTACCACACTCGTCACTGGAATACAGCTATGCAAATGTTTGGTTTTAAGTGGATTTTTCCTTTAAATCATTTGGCTAAAAATATAATAAGGGATTTTTCAGAAAAATGTGGCTGCTGACTGTGTTTGAAATGTTTTTGATTACTATTCTAATTACTTAAATAATTGCTGAGCAAAACTATCAAGACAGAAGAAAAGCTGCTGGTGAAGATGAAGCTTCACATCATCTTCATCAAAATCACCATCAACCACAGACGGATTTTTATGCAAATTATTCATTTCTCCCTGTTACAGAGGTATTGGGAAATTCCTCCGGTCTGTAGAGTATAAAATGTCAGTCCATCACACAGACAAGGCAACTCCTTGTGGCCCTGACAGCCCTCAGCATCTGTGGAAACTCAACAAGCACTTCCCAGCATCGCAACATGCCCTCTCAACTTAGTAAGTGATTTGCAGCCTGTGGTGCACACGTTTCCTGTGTTAATTCCTCTTTTCATTCATTCAGTCATTCATGCTTTGCCTTTTCACACAGATGCGTACCTGCTCTCTGCAGTGTTGCTAGCAGCTCTGCTACCGAGTGCTCCTGGAGCTCCAGTTGAAAACATCACCACTGAGAGTGTGGAAGACGACTTCTCAGGTGACGAGATGGGGCCATCTGACCTACTAGGGACCCCCGAAGCTCCACCTGGAAACACGACTACTAATGCCACAGGTGTGGGTTTGGGGCCCACTGACCTACTGGTCACCTACTGGTGTGGGATCCTTCATCCAGCTGAAGAGCACCACAAGGCAGTAAGGACTTTATCTTTCAGGAATTTCACTGACTGAACTCTATTATTTTGAAGTTGCTCACATGTGCAATGCCTTCAGCAAATTGCTTGAGTCATTGCTCAAGTTAAGTGGTCTCTCATTTCACTGACATGTAAACTGACTTCCATCTTTTTTCTTTGACCATTTCCCCTCTAGCAGCTGAATGAAGCTGATTTCACACATATTGGAGTGAACTACAACTACGAATTCCCCTCATTTCCAACAGCATGCCCTAACTCCAACTTCAATGTAGGTCTCTTTCTTGTTTATCCTCTTGTTACACCTTTAAAAGAAGCTAGTGATGTGGTTAATTTGAGCACTGACTGTGATCTTCTGCTCACTTACCAGGAGGCTTGTCTTCACTTGTTGGTTGAAGGCCTGAACACCTATGCAGTTCTTTTCAAGCATGTGGAGAAGGAATATTCCAACAATGCAGTCCTCATGGCCGTCAAAAACTACAGCCCACACCTGATCAGCTTAATTAAAAGAAAGGTGAGTCTAATGTTGAACACTTGTCTTTCTGGCTAAATACCGGAGGAAAAAAAACTCCTGAAAATAGTTTTTGAATTTGTAGTTGTGGTAATGTATTGCAACTTGACTCTCTGTTATTGTTTTTCATCTGGCTCACCTTTTTATTATCTCCATTATAGCCACTGTGGAGACAGATCATTTACTTAAACAAAAATAGCAATACATCATTGTAAAAATACTCCATTACCAAAAAGTCAAAAATGCACAAAATTCTACATTCATGTGTAAGTTCTATTTTACTATTGTAGTCGGGTCAAGGTAATTTTAAGCATATTGTATACTGCTGTGTTGTTTAACTGCTCATGCATTGTATTGCATATACATGTACTCTGCAAAGTAGCTTAGTAAAAAGTGCAGTATTTCCTGTAGTAAAGTAGGTATCATCATGACATGACACTGTTTAGTCATATATATACTACTGTCACTTCTGCCACATAGATGAGGGATCCTGAAAATGTCACGATGCTGACCAGCAGCCAGGAGGAGCAGCTACTGAAAGACATTGACAATACAGATACTTACCACAGACGGAAAACTGCAAACAGCATCCTCATGCACTTCCGCAACTTCATTGTCGATGGCATAAGACCAATTCTTCAAATAGAGAAGAAAAGGTGCCCCCAATAATGTATTGGACCAATCCTTTTAGGAATACCTCAGGGAAACTAGGTAGGGTTTATGTCTATTTTTAAGAGGAATCATGAAAGAATCTGAGATGAATGGCTTTATAGCTATCTGCTATATGGCTTAATGCCTTGAATTGCCCACGACTGCATAATTTATTTAATATATTTATACTTGGTGAAAATGTTATTTATTATTCAAACAAAAATGGTTGTGGAATACTTCCATAGAAAATATAATCAGTGCTTGACAGTGACTTTGATGTGGATTCATTTCTGGATTGTTACCACATGAGCAGCACTGTTGTATAGATTTTATGAATAAATGAAAAGAATGATTGTATCATGTCTTCTTTTTTTGCTGTAATGTTAAATATTGTTTATTTACATATGTAAATGAACTCACTCTTTGTTGAGTTACAAATCAATGAGCTGTGTTTTGAACACATGGTAGTGAGTGGCTTGAAGGAATATTTTGTACACATGCAAAAAAAAAAAAAAGATCTGCATTGTAGAAAAGAAGCAGGTTTTTTCATTCCATCACTGTATTTTCTCATCAAACAAACAAACCCTTAACAGCATCCTTATGTTTGCATGCTCATCAGGCCTGGAAAATATGACTAAAACTATTTTAAAAAATAGATCACATCAAAACAGGCTGACTTATTTTTACATCTGAATTCTGTGTGTAATTTCCAAACTTTAAAATACTGACATAAAAAACAAAACAAAACAAAAAAAATATTAAACATACGCCACAAATATTTACAGAGACAAGCCTCCACTATATCCGTATTAGCTTGGCTCACCCTGTGGTAACCAAAACATAATAAATTAAATGTGAACCACTATCTAACACTCCCAGAGCACATTTTATTATCCAATAGACTGTATTTTACATGAATTACCAACCTGTGACCGGCTGTGCCTTTTCTGAGACGCGCCTCGCTGACGCACTGCTCCGCTCGTTTTACGCGTTATTTTGGCTCACCCGAGAGTAATGATGTCCTCCAAATATGAAATTTCTTCGTCTGCTTCAACATCAGAATCTTCTCTCGCCTAAAAATCATTTCCAGGGCCGTCTAACTACTAATGCGCCTGTAAGAGATTTTCCCTGGTATATGGGTTTTGGTCATAGACTTTCCACCGCCATGCAGAGAAAAACTCTTCTGTTGGGTGGAGGAAAGTGCTGTACGGTGGAAGGAACACATTCTGTTCCTGGTCTTACTCTTCCTCGTCCTTTTTGTCCAACACCTCATATTCCTCTACCTCTCATATTATTATCTATAGTTGATGGATGTACCCGTGCCATCTGTGCACTTTGAACTGGCTTATGATTTGTACCTTCTCATCACATAACTAGAAACAAGTGTGAACAATTTTGAATCTGTTAGATATTTTTAGTCAGATAGATACTGGATAGCTACTTTATGTATTAGAAATGTTTAGTGGAGATAGGATGTCTAGTTAGACTGGTAAATGCTTAGTCATGCTTATGAGTTTCTACAGGGTACATCTGGTCAAGGATAACTAGAGAGAAGAGTGGATGACTGTCAGCAGACAGGGTGTTTAATATTATTATTACGACGTGTATAACTGTAGCCTTAGCCATAATATGTTCT